CAACCATGCAGCTAGTACCTCAATTCTTGTCCTACTCCTGTTCGCCTGCAGCTCTTTCAACCCTCAAGCCACCTCATGAGGTGCAAGACGCTCCACTCCCTCCTTGCCCTTCCTCCCCCGATCCCTCGCGTCCCGCTCCATCGTCACCTTGAAGGGGTCCTTGAATATTCCTCTCAACTGCGTCTCCGCCTCCGAGTTCTCCCTCTGCTCCCCTTGTCTCCTCCGCTCGATATCATGTACCGCACCAGGTGAGCCGTTGCGGGTCCCAAAAGCTGGAGAAACACTGACTGGCGATGCAATCTGAGGCTTTGATATGAAGTCCTTCAGAGACATGGGAACCGAACTGGGGGACTTGGGATCGCGAGGCCGAGCCAATGTCCGACCATCAATGAATGGGTCCTTGGATGCTGTAGACGCACGGCCCGACATGTCAAACGTATCCGAGGGATTAGCCACTGAAATGAGTCCCAAGTCATATGGTAGATGGATGATCGCGTCACGACGATGATTAATGAGTGGACTCGCGGGACTCATCGGTCGCACCGGGATGGGACTAAGCGGCCCCAAAATGGCATCTGAAGATGACGAGCGGAATCTTCGCTGCTCGATACGAGTTGTTCGTTTCGGAAATACGGAAGCCGCGCGAGCGAGCGGCGTTTGATAATTGAAGTAATCTTTCTCAGTGCCGTCAAACAGTTTGGCGAGTGGGTTCTTAGTACGTGCGAATGGCATGATGGTAGATTTTCGATTATCATCCTTTTCCCCCTCTTTTTGACGCGTGGAACTAGGCAACCTTAGCTCCCAGATAGAATTGTTCTGGCTGTTGCCATGCGTCTTGTATGGGCTAGAGATTTTGCCCTGGCTCGATTGGGTGGCGCGACTATCCGGGCTATGGTCTCTCCTTACTGTTTGGGATTTTATCGTTGTGTCATCGTGGGAAGGGTTGCGTATGGGATCGTGATGTACACTTGCGCGCAGGGTACTAAGCGGACTCATAGACGTAACAGCGGCATCAAACTCAACCCAGGGCGTCACTTCCCTTATTTCTTCCAGGTTACTATTGACGACCTGAACGCTACTGCCAGTAGATTTGGATGAGAGATCGCTTTTCGGTGAGTCATTTCTGCCGTGCTGAATGCTCGTGCCCATTCGTTTGGGGGCGGCTACTGGTACTCCCAGCGTATTTTTAGATAAGCCGAAGGACGACTCGATTTCGGGGTTAGCTACAGAATCAGAGGGCGAGCGAGAAGGGCCCGCTGACCCTGCAATAGTGGCTAGTGGGTATCTCAATGTTGGGGAACGGGATGGGCCTGGGTTATTTCTGGTCTGAGATAGAGGGTGTAGTTGTGTGAAGGGTGCCGTTAGTGATGGAATGTGTGCCGCGACTTTTGCTGGTCCCGGTGTTTCAACTCTCTCGACTGTTGGCTTTTGCGACCCTTCATGCTGCATTCGGCGGAGGCGCTTGTATTCTGTATAGTCGTCGAGTTCGAATGTTGTAGGGTGTCTCATCACCTCTGTCATGGGTACAGGATCGTCTCGTTCGAATTTGATCTCGTACATAAGGTCTCCAACCTTGTGTTCTGGCCCACCAAAGTCGCCGGTCTTGACAGGCCGAATTGTCCAGCCACTCACTCTGTATCTATTCAATAATCTGTGTCAGTGTAACTTCAATACGACGAACAATCTACTAACAAGCCTTCATATCTCACTCCGGCCTTGGGGCCCCAAATTGAATCGAGCGAATGACTTCGAAGTATCCGAATACGAATTCTGCCCCTGGAAACGGCCGAAGTGAGGCGGAATCGTCCTTTATCGTCTGGGGAGCAACGGTATGTGATGGACTCTTCCGACAACGCCTCAATCTCACCGGTTTCTTTCAGAAATACAGCATATGCTCCGTAGTTGTCGTGACAGATTCCGCCATCGGTTGTGTCGAGATCGATGATTCCAGCGTGATGTGCAAACAAGGGATTGATCCACCAGCTGCGATATTTTTAGTTAGTAATTAGGGTAAAAGACAAAACTTGAGCTACTCACGATCCAGCACTGAAACCCAAATCTCCAGTGCTATGAGACCGTTCCGATAAGATCTTCTGCGGGCACAATTTCTGCCATCGTTGGATAAGAGCCTGTACGACAGGGTCAGCCTTTATCACAAATCAGATGATCCAAGAGTGGCATGCCCCTTTAGAGAACTCAGTAGCACTAGCGATACCCTCAAGTCGTCCCGCTCTTCCATACATGAACGGTCGAAGATTCTCCAGTGCCCCAAATTTCTTCTGCCACACCAGAATGATTTTGTCACAGTCGTCTGCTAAGCGGCCTGGCCACCTGGTCGCAGTCCCTGCCACTTCCATTACCGCTCTATGTATGCCTGTGGCTCGCAAATCCAGCGCACTGATAGTTTGAGAATGTCTCAGGGCGTAGAACATCTCGTGGAGCATCAGAACGTCGTCAGCTCGGAGTATTTCTGGACCATCCCGCGCAATGACTGGATCGAGCTCATCGCGGATCCAGACAGCAATCTGCCGAAGCCTGGGACGGGAGTAATCAGTCACTGGTGGGGTTGTCGGATACATGCTGCATTCGAATCGACGATGATACGAAGATTCTGGATAAGTTCCAAAACCCGGGCGATTTCAGAAAGTGGTGGGATGATGTAGAAGTCGAACAGAGGTTGAGGGTGCAGGTCGGGGAGAAGCCACTATTCTTGCCTAATACACACGAAAACACGACTTGTCATGCAAAAGGGAAGGGACATTGATATTTCCGGCAAGGACAATAGTTCATTGGCTGTTGCTCCGGATACTCTTGGAAGTTTGTCGTCGGCGCTGTGTCATGGGGATGTCGCCTACGAGCGGCCTGTCTTCTTGCTATTTCCTTTCTTCTTCTTGGCTTTTCCCGCTTCAGTTTTCGCCTTTTTGTTCGACTCAGTAGCGATGGGTGCAATTGACGTAGTAGTGGGCGCATTATCGCCATCACTGAAACCATTCCACTCTTCTTCGTCTTCGTGCATGCCTTCCTCGGCTTCGTATGCCTCGACATGTAACTCAGACCCCAAGGTCTCCTTGACCATATATTCATCTCGAATAAAGGCCGCAACGAAAAACCCCATAGTTCCATCTTCGGTTCCCTTGTTACATCGAATGCATGCAGCCAGAACATCCTTCTTTTGCGCATCGTTCACCTCAATCTCCTCCCCCAATATGTTGTCCTCCCACACACCCCTGTTTGTCCAAGCCTTCAATCCCTCTACCTGGTGCTCTTGCTTTAAGATCCTCCATCCACGCTTCTTTGCAACGGAAGATGCTAAAGCCCGAAACACGACTCCTTCATTCTCTTCAAAATGGATGGAGCATGTCGAGTACGTTATTTTACACGCCTTGGAGAATCTCATGGCGTGAACGAGGATACGTAGCTGGAAAGCCGAAAGAGCAGCAAGCCGTTCGGATACCTTGTCGTCGCCGACCGTCTCCTCTGGAACTGAATCATCCAATTCCAAGCTTAGAGTGGCACTAGGCTTAGGGACAGAAGCCGTCTTCTGGTCTCGTTTTCGTTTTTTGCCTCGACCTGTGTTGAGCTTTTCCCCAGCTTGCGGGTCAGGCAGATGCATTCTGATGGTATCGTCCCGGCCCACAATTCCACTACCTGAGCAGCTGGGATCAAGCAGAATGGCTCCAACAGACCTGTAAGTGTCAGACTGCGGCTGCGCGGCTAGAAAGTCCTGGCCTCCCTTGATGGATACCAAGGTGTCAGCCGATGCAAGCTTCACCATTTTTTCAAGAGTCGTGGTTCTGATCTTGTCTCTTTCAAAGGCGAGAACCTTCTGACCACAGCCCTCATCTGTCGATCTTTCTGAAATTATGGCCGCTAGATGTGTAGTTTTGTTCCCTGGTGCCGCACATCCATCAATTACATCCCCATCCTCGGCTGTCATGTCTAGCAGGTATGCCGGAAAGCATGATGCCTTATCTTGGAAGATGATCTTCCCGGAAGTGTATGCGGCCGATTTGGTCAGGTCAATCTTGGATGGGAGAGCGAGGAGATTCGGAATGTTCGGGTCGACGAAGTAAAGCTTGGATGACCCAGGCGCGGTCAAAACGGGAGACAATTCTTCCGACTTCTCGTACCCTGCAAAAGTAGTAGAAAGCTGTTCATTCAGAGTTGACTTGAGCGTGTTGACCCGAACCCAGCGAGGATGTCGCACCACAGGCTGCGTAACATTCTGATCCGCCTCAAGAGCTCCATTGTTCACAGCCTGCTTGAATGCCTCGAACGTAGCATATCCGGCTCGTAGCCGCGCTTTCGTGAACTCAGCGTTCAGTCGCGCCTTGTGTCTGGTAATTGCGAGTTTGAGGACGTGATTTGCGGGCGCAGCGACGCCGCTTTTCGAGAGGAGATCGTGAGACAAGAGAAGCGCGAGGATCGGGGTAAGCTATAGATACGTTAGTAATTGATCGCCACAAAAGCCGATTCAAAACTCTACCTTCTTCTCCTCGGCCAAAAGCCCGCAATTCTCGATAACGTCCTTCAACACGGTGGACCATTTCGAGGCTTCCGTAATAAGGGCAAAGAGCTGGGCGGGCGAACTCTTTAGATCCTTTTGTCTGTATATGCGCGACTTGAGCGAGCCACCCGCATTGTCGGAATTGGCGAGGACCGCGGCGGCTTCGTAGTAGAGCGACATTGGGGAAAAATTGGAGATGCCGAGAAATTATTTTCTGGTCTTCAGCGGGGGAGTGGCCCGAGCTCAAGCTTCATCTCTGCTCACCCATCTCACAAAAAGGCAAGACTCAGGAACGTCAGCACTGAACTCATTGAAGGAGAGCAGTAGTTAGTTGATGATTTAATTTTGTACAATTTAGTTCGTTAGTATCTGTGCGCAAAAATTGAGACATTGAGTGAGAGTCATGTATTGATAAGATAGCTAGCAACGGGTCACACACAAGCTCTTCATTCAACATCAAAAAGAAGTGCGCTGCAACCGCCAAAAATGATATTGACACGAGTGAGGTTCGAACTCACGCTCATTTCTGAAATGGTGAAGTAAATTAGACTTAAAACCACCGCCTTAGACCACTCGGCCATCGTGTCTAGAGTAAAACATTAGACAGTTTTGGTGGTTAACGTATATATATACGTACTTTGCAATAGGATGGACAAAAGAGTAAACAACAAAAGCTTCCACAGGCTGATTATGGGGATGACTGCACATTGTGATCATGGTCCTGTGTGTGGGCGCAGCCCAATGGTCCGTCCATGTCTATCTGATTCAGCCAATCACACCTCCTGAACCGCTTCCCCGCCACCTCACACTTCATCTGCACTCCTTAACTACGCCGCCTCGTGCCCTCACAGTTCGTATGAACGATACGTTCATTTACACAGACCTGCTTCCCGCAGAATTCCTTCTCATACTGTGACTCGGCCACCATGTCATCTAGGTAGCGTTCCAACAGTGATGGCGCCCTCTCCCCGCATCTACGTATATCTCACCTGCATATACCTCAAACCACAGGGTCCTAGGGTTCTTCTGTCTGGATTGGTGTCATGATCGAAATCGATCTGGTTGTGCTACGAACCTTGGAAAGCAGCAGATGCAATTTTTTAGCCCAAATCAGCCTACATTTGGAAGCCATCAGCTTACCTGCTACTCTTCCGACTGCAGCGTCAGTGTAGCACAGGCAAAGAGTATTATGCTCTGTGTCTAGTCTGACAGCAGAACTGAGTTCACAGCATGAGCTAGTCGGTCGGCTCCTTTAGTGCACGCCTTGTGAGGGCGTTGCTTTCCATCTTGTCTCATTGGATGTATGAGCCCGTGACCGATATTCTCTCATGCTACTCAGTGGCTGGCATTCATGGAGAACCTTTCGTACCCTGGAATCGAGTAAATAGAAATGATAAATCTTCATCTGGAGGGTGTTGTACTCATAGTTTCATTCTCTTCTTACCCTGACATCGTCCTTATTGGGCTGTATATGAGGTCTGTTGCAAAAGGTCTCTGATATTACACTCTGCAAATGCGCATTCACTCCATGCTTAGCAACAACTTTATGCCTCAGTCCAAAAGGTAATCAGTCAATTCCCCGACTCATTGTAACCCCGTTATGTTACAGCTGCAAAGGACTTACGGATGCCATACTGGGACTGGGCAGCCAAAATCACTTAATAGACCAGTGTCTTTCCAACCGCAGTCAGCTCCGCAACAGTGTCTATTATAGACACTGACGTATCATCTAAAGCAATCAAACCGCTATACAACTTCTGATTCAGAGACAAGATTCCCGCAGAACTTGCCCTCGATGATTACGTAAGTTCTAATGAGAGTCAAGGCAGCATGACTCGCTGATTTGTTCTGTGGAGCCGAATCCCCAACACCAAGCTTCCGCCAGATTGAAATGGTAATTTGCAGACTGCTTTACTAGTATCTCAGATAATTACGAATACACGCTCCATTACGGAGCAATATCTCGCTCGTCTACAAGTAATTCGACGCTTTCGGTAACAATGGGCACGTAATAGAAATTTAGTAAGGACAATCTAGGGGGAAACAATACCAAGGTAGACAGAGGCGTTGCTTTTCGTATAATCGTCTTGATTGATGCAATAAAACAACGTTGAATGCCAAACTTCGCTTACCGCTGTTGCCTGTCGAATGCTCTTTCAATAAATAATGTGACTCCAAACGTCAGCAAAATATACATATATTCCAAACCAGAATTTCAGACAAAAGACGCCAGGTATCTTCCCCAGGTACTGCCGTATCCGCCAAGAGGAGTAATTAATAGCTACCTAGGCGATGCGGTAGATGTTATCCTCACAACACGATGCTGGGCGGCCCAATGGGAGCGGCTTCCGACACTCGGAACAAACGCGATTTCCAGCTCCAACACTACCTCCACGCTTCAGCCACGACATAGCATCGCCAGCCCTGGAACCGCCATGTATCCTTCATCGCAAGGTACAGCATGTGGAAACCCTCGATTTGCGCGCCCAGAGCCAGTCGACGGCCTCCAACTACACTGTCGTTCTTGAATCGCTCGGTTCAATACCCCTCCCAGCACGCCCAACACGGCCGTTGCTTCCACGAATATTTCGTCACGCATATCCCCTCGAGCTCGCTGCATCCTGATTCAGGGTCCAGACATGGGCCTCACCATAAGCTCCCGCGAGACAAGAGCACGCCGCATGAGGCGACCAGCAGGTCGCCGGCTGCGGCCTCGCTGATGCATGGGTCTAGTCGCGAGATGACGGTCGTGCGGATACCATTGAAGAGCGCGAAGCATCACTTTGGGGTGTCTCTGTCGCGCGGCGTGCGCCCATACAATGAGGATGCTTTCCAGGCGGGCACAATTGACATACCGGCTTTCGCGAAGCGACGCCCCATGTCCTTGACGCGGAATCCGGGCGGTGGAAACAAGAGTGAGCCCACGGCTGCGGATAACCCGAGTGGGGACCCTCAAGTATTCTACTTTGGCGTGTTCGATGGGCACGGGGGCAACGAGTGCTCAGGGTTTCTGAGGGAGCAGTTGCATACATATCTGGAGGGTGCGACAAAGCTGTTCGAACTGCAGAGCAGTCTGAATGTCAAGGGGAGAAGTGGATGGCCGAGCAGCTTAGACGAGAGAAGGGACAGGAGTGATGGGAGCGAGACGCCAGCCACTGGAAAGGAAATGTTGGCTGCGGTCGAAACACATACACCTGCTGGAGTCGACGCTGTCAAGCCTCCAACGCCTGGGACAAACGACCCGCCGCCTGCCGCGGGAAAGGACAACAAGACAGAGCCCGTGGACAGTGCACCACCAGTTAAACAATCGGACAGCATTAGGAAGGCTGAAGAGCTCGAGGGATGCCTGGTCAAGGAGTGGAAAGAGCTGGTTGGAGGATACTTCAGGCGTTTTAAACCAGAGTACTTCTCCATGTCCGTTGGTGGGCGCGGACATGGCACAGAGAAAGATGTAATCACGAAGCAACATGCGCTAAACTCTTCAATATCCGACGACGCCATGGAAGGCATCGGCATTGAGACTGTGCTAGAGTACGCGTTCCTGAAAGCAGACTACGACTTTGTATCGGCTCAAGTTGGCAAGCAAGAGGAGGACCCTGTGGCAGCAGATCGAGCCATTAACGACGACGATATTTTGGGCCACCCCTCACGAACAGGTAAACATATTGGCGGGAAAAACCGCTTCAAGGGAGGAAGCACATGTAGTATCGCGCTCATATCGACTCCAACCCCGTCGCCCTTCTGGCACCCGGCCTCTCCATCCACCCTGATCGCAGCGCATGTAGGCGACACACGAATACTCCTCTGCAAGACGGCAACCGGCCTTGCTGTTCCACTGACCTCGAACCACCACCCTTCCCTCCCCGAAGAAGCCACCCGTCTCCGCCGGTACGCGGCAACCTTTGTGACGGACTCGTTTGGCGAAGAGCGCGTCTCTGGTCTCGCCAACACGCGCGCATTCGGCGACATGGCATCTAAGCGCATTGGTGTGAGCGCGGAGCCCGAGATACGCCGCATCGAGCTCCTCCCCGCTGAATACAGCTTCCTCGTGCTCATCTCGGATGGCGTCTCTGGCCATCTCAGCGATCAGGAGATTGTAGATGTCGTCAAGGAAGCCAAGACGCCCGAGCAGGCAGCAAGAGATGTTACTACTTTTGCGACAGAGGTCAGCCCTGATGCGGACAATGCGACGACATTGGTGGTTAGGTTGGGTGGGTGGGAGAGAAGGAGTGAGGGGGGATTGGGTAGTTTGGGGACGAAGGAAATGCGGGATTGGCGGAGAGGGGAGGCGAACAATCCGAGGGGGAGGATGTAGGGTAGTGGGTGGTTTGTGTTTATGTTTGTGACTTGGGAGCAGAGGTTCACGCTCAGGCACGAGCACGAGCACGAGGTTTTGCATATCGGGCGTTGGGAGCATGGAAGCATTGGGCAGGCCATGTTTGTATTTCTATATATATTTATATATACTGGGGGACGTTGTTTGTATACCTTATCTTATCCTTCCTTCTTCACATGGCACTCATGGAATTCATGGGCATTCATCAGGGGTCTCTCTGCCATATGCGTCCAAGCGCGGGGTTGTTGCGGCGTTGCGGCGGTGCAGCGGCGGTACGGCAGTTCTGCGGCGGTACGGCAGTTCTGCGGCGGCTCTGTGGAGAGGGCCGTCGACTGTTGAGACATTTGGGGATATTGAGAGGCAACCAAAAAAAAAATATGTGGAAGGGGAGTTCCAAACGCCTTTTCGTGTTTCACCAGAGTCTTTGCTCGGGCGCAAGGCTGCAGTGGGCGCGCTGGAGTTGCATCTGGGGCAGCGGCACCACCACCACAGCTGCGTACCGTTTGGCCAAGCAAGTGAAAAGACGATTTCAGGACGGTGCAAGGCAAGGGGAGAGAGAGGGAGAGAGAAAGAAGAAAGACAGAGAGAGCGCACAAGAATGGATGATGGATGTTGCCTGCCAGAAGACGGCCATGTTCGTTGCGCTCCTGTTGCCTGCTTGTCTGTCTACATAATACATATTATGCCTGTCTGCCTTGCCTCTGGTCTGCACGTCGTTTTATCTACACGTCTGTCAAACCACCAAACTGCCAAACTGCCAAACTGCCAAACTGCGAAACTGCGAAACTGCGAAACTGTACCTCTTTGCACCTGCACCTCTTGCACCTGCGTCGCTGCTTGCTGTTTACCCGTGACCTCGCTCTTCCTGTGACTTTATTAATATATCGGCCTGGTTGCACTGCGACGAGGGGCGACGTTCGTATTAACGCGCGCGACGCTAGCCTGAACAGTCCCATTATTTGCCCGCTCAACGACAACTCTTTCGCTTCAAACAAATAACCTGCCCACCGCAACTTCACCACCCACGCTCTCTTCCCCCGCAGCCACATCGACTACACTCCGCTGCCGTCCAATACTCATACATACGCACCCCTCGATCCCTACAGACTCCCTCCCGCAACCATGGATATAAACCAAGTGCTGGAGGGCACAATTTCTGCCGGTATGTCCACATACCCTTTCTCCCCACGTCTGCCGCCCTCGACTGACTTGTGCCTCTCCAGATGCCGCTGTCAGAACTAGCGCGGAGCA